TGTTGTTACTGTGAATGCTTAGGTCACTCTGCTTTAATATTACTCGTTTGGATTCGTTATTTAATTAATAGATTTTGTTTATTCAAGCTAGAAATCTGTCTCATGTATGTGTTTTGTTTTGTTTTGTTTTTACCTGCAGCTCGCCCTGTGGGATCCAGTACACGGCTTGAACGGCTCATTAACCGACAGGAAACTGGAGAACAACATGAAGGGTGTGGTACTTCGTATTGTGACTGTCTTGGTGAGTCAAGTGAACTAGTACGAACTAGTGCATGTGTTTTAAAAACAAATCCATTTTTTTAAAGGGAAAGGCTTTTACACTCAACACTATAGAAGCAATGAATATTTTCTGATGTAATGACTTCTCAAAGTATAAACCAGACCAAAGGTCAAGAGAAAAGATTTTTTTGTTCACCAAATATGACAGCTTTACAATAATACAAGTGTAGTGTAAATAGATAGCTATGCTTGGCACTAGACCATGCTCGGATATTTATTTCTGCAGAATACAACATATTTTGCCAGAACTTTCACAGCACCACAGCAGCATGGTCCTGCACATTTAGCAGTGGTTTCTGACATGGGTTTCTCTTTGACTTGAAATGTATCAGGTCATTTCTCTTTATTTTATAATCACTTCTAGATGATTACAGCCTAAAGCCTTTGCTAGCAAGTGTTATATGATTTTCTCGAAAGATTAGGATGATACGATGATTTTGGTTAATGCTGCTGCTGTTATATCCTGTTTAAATACACAAACTTTTGATCACTTAAGATGTTGTCTGATTGTTTTTACCAGAATGTTAATATGGTGTTTTCAGTTTGATTCGTACCCAGTGTTGCTGTGTACGATAATTATCATATTTATGATAGTCAGGTATGGACGGTAGTCGATTGATGATTTAAAAAAAAGAGGAAACAAAGAAAATAGAAGAGGAAAAATAAATATAATAACCGAAAATTAAGGATCCTCGAGGAGGAGGAGAGGCAAAAAAGATGGTAGAGAAAGTAAAAGTAAGCAGCAGTGTTTCCATTAACACACAGTACAGGGAAGAGTGGCAATTTACCTGATGGCTGAGACCTAATGTTAACTAGACACTGAAAAACCTTTGTTTTTCTAACCTTATTTTCTGACTTTGAACCTGGAATTCTGACATCTTGGCTATGATGTCATTCCCAGCTTCCAGCCCCACGCAATTCACCGCATCAGGAATTCCTTCCACATTGAAGCAACAAAGCCATAAGCGCTTTTGTTAGCACATCGATATACTTGTTATTTTGGTTATGACGGGTGTACAATAATTTACTGTAAAATACGGTAATTTCATACTCCTGGTACTTCCTCTTAACAGCAGCCTTTGAAAATGATTAATAACAAATAGATGTTTCTTGTTTATGCATTTTAGTATTTTTGGGTTTTTAAAAGTTTTGCCACATGATTTGATCCTTCTGAAGGGACCCTTTGAACAGTGTTCCATGTTGCCCTGGGTGCTCTCCACTGATGTAACTGTTGAGGACTGCAAAGTACAATCCTCTCATACACACCACTGTCATCTGCAGTGATTCTCACTCTGAAACATATGGGAAGTACACTCTCAGGTTAAACTCAGGTTCAGAAAAGGTGCAAAAAGCAGTAAATTGAGGGGGGAATGTTATTAAGAGTTATTAATTAATAAATGTATGAAAAAAACAAGTATTAGTTTCAAGGTAATTGTTGGTGCCAAAAAATACGTTATTCAGCCACCACTATTGTCATCTAACTGTCACAGATAGAATGACCTGAAAAGAACCACACCTGACAACGTTGTGTTTTACTCGCTGCGAGGGGGAGCAGAGAGGCCAACAGCTTCGCAGAGTTGTCTCACCTAAGTCCCAAAGTGTATGAGGACTGGAGCTCCTTTTATTGAGAAAGTTACATAAGTGCTGAGCAGTTATTTTTCATTGCGTGCATTCTTTTGGGCAAAGATCGCACGCTTCACATAGATGATGAGGAACAGACTGTATCCTTTGCAGAATACATTGTAAAACATTTCTTGAGTACGTGCAGAACATTTCCTGTGCAGTCTTCATGTTTCTTATAAGCAGATTATGTTTTAAAACACCTTGATAACTAAATAGAAATTCTATTTACAGTAATGAATGAGGTCATTGTGTGATTCTTGTGTTAAATCTATACCTTTATACTGTATACTGTGGGTGTTGATAACATCAAGGATCGGCCCTGAGCCACTTCTTGTTTGCTTTGGTGATAGACAGATTGACAGATGAGGTCAGACAGGAGTCCCCATGGACTATGTTGTTTGCAGATGACCCTGTGATCTGTAGTGAGAGTAGGCAGCAGCTAGAAGAGAAACTAGAGAGGTGGAGGTTTGCACTAGAAAGAAGAGGAATGAAGGTCAGCCGCAACAAGACAGAGTACATGTGTGTAAACGAAAGGGAGAACAGTGAAATAGTGAGGTTACAAGGAGCAGAGGTGGTGAAGGTGCAGGAGTTTAGGTACTTAGGATCAACTGTTCAGAGCAGAGGAGACTGTGGAAGAGAGGTGAAGAATAGAGTGCAGGGAGGATGGAACAGCTGGAGAAAAGTGTCAGGAGTTATCTGTGAGTGTCAGCCAAGGTGAAGGGAAAGGTTTACAGGACAGTGGTGAGACCAGCCATGATGGTGTGTTTAGTGTTTAGAGACACTAGCAATAGGCAGACAGGATGCGGAGCTGGAGGTGGCAGAGTTAAAGATGCTAAGATTCTCTTTCGGAGTGACAAGGATGGACAGGATCAGGAATGAGGTCATTAGAGGGACAACACAGACAGGAAGGTTTGGAGAAAAGGCTAGAGAAGCCAGATTGAGATGGTTTGGACATGTGCAGAGGAGGGACAGTGGATACATTGGTAGAAGAATGTTAGAGATGGAGCTACCAGGTAGGAGAAAAAGCAGAAGGCCAAAGAGGAGATATATGGATGCAGTGAGGGAGGACATGCAGATAGTTGGAGTCAGAGTAGAAGATGCAGAGAACAGGGAGAGATGGACAATGATTTGCTGTGGCAACCCCTGAAAAAGGGACAAGCCAAAAGGAAAAGAAGAAGACTGTAGGTGTTAATAAGTATTGTACAAGGGAACATTCCATCCATCCATCCATTTTCAACCGCTTATCCGTTTCCGGGTCGCGGGGGCAGCAGTCGCCACCCAAATCACATTGCACCGTACCAAACCTTCCTGCGGGTGGTGAGTCCACTGGAAGGTAACAAGGGAACATTGCACATAGAAAATAAAAAATATTGAAGTAAGAAAATGTGAAATATTGATGTAGTAACAATTGAAAACAGTAATAAAAAAGTGATTAAAATATAATATTGTTGTCACGATTTGCCATCAACATGGCAGGAAGCAGGCAGGACCCAAATGCAGTACTGGTGCAGGTAGTTTATTTTAAAATGCCAAAACAACCAAAAACTGACTTCAGGAATAGACTTGCCCAGGAACACACTACAAACAGATACCACAGTGATCCCACAAGAACAGTGAGGGAGAGAAGTATATATACAAAGGGCACCAGGTGACACGAGTGAGACTAATCACAGAGACACAGGTGAGTGTGATGACAGATTACTCACACAGCAGACAGCAGGAACAGGAAACAGACAGACCTGACAATTGTAGAAAAAAATTAATTTATTATATATTACTCTCAGTAGGCAGCTGCATTCACCTTTTAGCTAAATGACAGGTCATTGTTGATCAAAGTAGTTTTCCACATTTTTGTATCCAGGCCTATTCCGGTTTTGATTTCTCTTAACATCTTATTAACATTCTTATTTTATCTCCTGACCTAGACCATGGTGTTCAGTTCAGCCAACAAATTTGATATTGAGGATATGATATTGAGTCAGGAGTTGTTTACAGTGTCTGAGTGTATGTTTGGTTGTAGTTGGGATAAAACCAAAAATAATGTTGACACACGCAGAGGCTCCATACTCTGGACAAGGAAGTTCAAGTATCGTCTGATGTTTAGGATCTTCAGCTACAGCTGGTCCTCAGCATAAACATAAAAAGTTGAAGGTGATTTTCAGGAAGTGTAGTTTCTAATGATCCAGGGCCTCCAGGTGTAATCCCCATGTAGTACTTTTCTACTGCTAATAAAACACAAAATGACAGGTCTTTAACTGTGTTTAACCTGAAGAATGCATCTGTTCTCCTTGGATTCAAACAAAGGCTTTCTCTATTAGTACACATAATATGTTCCATGGCAGACGTGGGCAAACTTTTCGACTTACGGGTCACAGTTGTCCTAAAGTTGAACGGGGGGCCGGGTCAGGAGCAGATAGATGGAGCGTTGGTGGGAACTAAGATAAATGACATGTAAAAGTCATGCATAAGGGCTAAAATGCTTTTATCATTTTCTACGCCATTTATTGTGGAAATGTGGGTATTGCAGGTAAAAGGCAGGAAGTATAATGATAATATAAATAGATTATATAATTTGGATAAGTTTGGAGGAGTGGATTAAAAACTGTCCCCGGGCCTTAGTTTGCCCATGCCTGTTCTATAGTATTTTGATATAAAATATACCTGCATACAAATGCTTAATAAAGCTTGTAAGTGCATTCACATGACTGTAAAAAATAGTTTGCTCTCCGTCTGAGAGTGGCTAATGACTAAGGTAAGTCTACATCATTAAAATTCAGCAGTTTTAATAGCCTTGTAGAAGTTACAGTAATTTACCCCAGTCAGTGCCCAATTAATTTTTTTTTTTTAGTTTAGGAGTGTGAAATCTGCACAACTTAATTTGAGACATGGATGAAAACTTGATTTACTCACCGTAGAAGACTCAAACTGCCTACAAATCACCACTCATTAACTTGCATATGCTCCTAATTTAGTGAGCTAATTTAGTGATTTAGTAAGCAGCTGAGGTTTTATGTTGGTGCCGAAAAGTCACCACTATTGTCATCTAACTGCCACAGATAGAATTACCTGAAAAGAACCGTACCTGACAACGTTGTACTTTTTACTCGCTGCGAGTGGGAGCAGAGAGACCAACAGCTTCGCAAAGCTGGCTCACCTAAGTCCCAAAGTGTATGAGGACTGCAGCTCATTTTATTGAGAAGGTTTCACAAGTGCTGGGCAGTTGTTTGTTCTTTGAGTTTTACTCCCAGGGCAAAGTTCATCCGATCCCCATACTTGATGAGAAACAGACCTCATCCTTTATGGACCACATCGTAAAAACCTTTCTGGGAGTACCTACTCCTGTCAAGCAGACCATGACTTAGATAACAGGTTATGGTTTAACACACTTTGGTAACTAACTATAAATTCTATTTACATTTTATAAAGAAAACAAAACCTGGAATCCTTTCCGCCAAACAAAAACACAATACAGCACATAAGCATAAAATGATAATAGAAATACTTTAAATGGTAGTTTTTTTAGATATGAGGTTAGGACAGCAGAGAGTAAACAAATCAAAAGGAGAAAATCAAAAAAAAGAAGAGACCTGTCACAGGAAAAGACAGGATTAGGAACCTTTTTAGGAATTTTGTTTTGTTCATTTACAGCAGTGGTTTACAAACTTTTTTCTGTGGCGCTATTGTTTCAAATCCATACTGATTTATTTAAAACACTGAAATCCCCACTTGCTCCAAAGTGGTACAAATAAATATTGTCTTTGAAAGTAATTTACTCTACTATAAACCCTCTTCCAACTGCTCTGTGCCCCCCGAGGTGCCCCTACTCCCCCAGTTTGGCAGTGTTGTGGAAATTTTGCTCCACCTGGTGAAGAATGAAATAGAGACTTCTGCCGGCCGACAAGGTGTTTTATTTTCGTTGCAAGGAAAATGTCAATCATCATTCAAGTAGCTCGAGTGAAGAAGGACCCCGAGCATGGGGGATCCTGAACAATTATACTCAAGGGATACCTGACGAATGCACCCCTGGGAGGCGCCAATTTCTTTGTTGGGGTCGGTGCTGAACTAGGATGTGGGTTCAAACCGGTTTGTCTGTTGCAGGACATTTGGCACCGACCCCCCATTGTGCGCCCCACGCCTGAGACACTCTGCAAGGTCCCGTATTTGGGTGGGGCCGGAAGGTCTAGACATGATCAACTTAAATGACAAAAGGACCTGGTCTTCTTGATGGGCTGGTGGGAGGTGGGGCACCCCAAGGAGCTGAACCTCTAGGCATCACAAAGACATCTGGATTTACAATTGTATATCACAAAGGGTTTGGGATTCCCATTACAGCAGTTTAAACAACATTGTAAGAAAAAGCAGTCTTTACCTTGTGTTTTAGCCAGGTTAAAATTAATGAACAGTTGGAGTAAGTGATGAAATTAAGCAGTATACTCTCAGGTCATGGATTTTGTCTGCAGTGTCTTTGTTCGGTAAATACGCTTTCCATCTGAATTACCACACACATACAGATACAAAAAAATACTTTATAACAACTGTTTAATCTTGTGCAGAGTTTATGTTGATGCTGTTTTACATTGTTTGGGCTGAATTTTCTGGCTCTCTCTGTTTCTCTTCGTGTCAAATCCTCAAAACACATGGTGTAACAATGGTTCTCAAACTTTTTTGGTCATTCCCCATGTTGAACAGGTGGGGATTTTCAAGCCTCACCTGTTCCCATAACTCCAACAAAATTCTTGACAAATTACGTCAAGTTATTGAACTAACACCAAGTAGTGTCATATTTGATAATAAATCAAAATAATAACATAAAATAACACAAAGTTAAAAAAGAGAATTTATAAAAGTGCAGTTATGCGATCATCACTTCATTTCTGAAAATTTCCTCCCCTTTGCTGTGCTTTGTCTGTCATGTCTCCGTTCCTCACCAGTGGGGCCCGCCCCATACTTCAAGAAGTACTTGAACATCAAAATGCACTACAACCAACCATAAATATAATCATAATTTTGGTTTTTGGTACATGGCTTTAGCCAAGAAACAATTTAGTCAGTATTGAACTTGGTATTGAACTTACAAAGCTCTAAGTAACATGTCTTTAGAAAAAAAAAAAAAAAAAAAGAACAAAAAGCTGATTTAATAGATTATTTCTTCAGTGCGTGGGCAAATCTTTAACTTTATACTTAGATTTTAGATTAGATTAGATAGATTTTTATCACTTTGTTGTTCTGCGGAGTCACACTAAGGTGATGTCCTGTTTTTTTGTTGGTTTTGAAAATCCAACATGATGTTTGGATTTGACTTTTGTTCATTGCTTGGCAAATATAGCACCGCTTTTTACATTATGAAAGAATCCCGTTTCTGTTCTTCAGAGAGAGGAAAAATCTGAGCACATTCATCAAACTTTAAACAGGAAAACTATTGCACAAATATTATATTTTTTCAAATGCCTCCCTTCAGTGTTTGTTGGTGGAAGTGTTGATAAACCCTGGCGCAAATTCTCACCAGTCCCATTTAAAGTCCTTGAAAATGTCATTCTGGCTTTAAATGTCTGATTTATTGTAGATGTGAACCTGTGCTTCAGTGTTGCACCTCTGTCAACAGTGTGAGCTTCTTCACCACATATCTGTTTGTTGATAAAAGTCTAGAGTTCCCCAACAGGGAAGCAATTAGTGGCACTTGGGTGGTGGTTCCACCAAAGTTAATGCATAGCACAACGTGAATGTGTGCGTATGGGCCAGTTTGTGTGTACTTAATGTGCAGCCCGTATCCAGTCAATAACTAGCAGGCCCTCATAAATCTGGAAGACATATCATCTGGAAGACGTTTCACCGATCAATAGGGATTTATTAACGAAGAGAGAAAAAGAAGGGTGAGGCAGAAAAGGAGTGGAGTGGGTAACAGGAGTAAAACTCCTGCTAGAAGGTCAGAGTGCCAAAAACATCCTAAACATTAAAAAAACTTTTTTAAAAATAAAGTATTGATTAGTGTTCAGTTTTTAAATAAAAGTGTTGTCTGGCATAATGCCACTTTGAATTACTTTTATTAATTTATTTTTTTCTATAGATTACATAATGATACCTGACATTCTCCCATTGGACTAGTTTTGTAGTTCTATCCTAATGATGCCCTCTTGCATCACTTAAAACACAGTTCCATCTCTTTATACTCTTTGACCACAATTGCCCTGACTGAAGCTAACATTTGTTTTTAAACAGTCCAAACGTTGCAAAAAAAAGATCCTCAGAAAGAACACTTATTGTAGACATATTTCTGTTTAGTTACCTGATTAGTTACCTAGATTAATTACCTGATCACTGTATTTTTGCAGCCATTTTTTGGCTTTATTTATTTGTTCTATGCTTCCGTAACAGTGTTGCATGGTAACGTAGTGGTAAACATGTGATGGACACATGCATAAATTAGGTCATTAATAATACTGTTGAACAAGATGTCAGTTTGGAGTTTGCTAATCAACCCAAAAAATCCAATTACCCTGCAGTCCCGGATACCCTCAGAGTCATTGCAAAATATATGCATAAGACCTAAAAAATGTAAAAGCAAGATGAAGGAGTCTTGTAATGTGTTCCTGGAGTTCAGAGGAAACATCTGTCACTGCTGAATCCAGTGTAATCAAGTAACTTAAAAGTAATTATTGTAACTTTACATGAAAGTGGTCATTTTCTATGCGTAATGAATGGTCTCCACTCTGCTATCGTTAGGGAGGGACATTGGAGGTGGTATAATGGCCACTAGAGTTAATTGGTGATTTAATGCCTGAATGATTGCTGTATGGACTCACTGACACAGTCACTGATTTTTTTGCCTTTTAGGAGGAGCCATTTGTAATGGTGTCAGAAAATGTTTTGGGGAAACCAAAGAAGTACCAGGGCTTCTCCATCGATGTGCTGGATGCCTTGGCCAACTACCTGGGCTTTAAGTATGAGATCTACATCTCTCCGGACCACAAATATGGGAGCCTGCAGCCTGATGGTCAGTGGAATGGAATGATCGGAGAACTGGTCTTCAAGGTGAGAGGATTGAAATGTGATATTCTTTTACATGCACAAAATACAAGGACTCGAGGTACAAGCATCACGTCAAACACACTTTCTGAACAGAACTGAAGAGCTGGAAGACAGTCAACTGAATGCTTGTACAATTTTCCCTTAGGGTTGGCTGTGAGGTGTGTCCCCATTTAACAACACATGATTAAAAGGCTGCACTTTGTTAAATATATATATATATATTATTGTGCCAAATATAATTATATTATAAAATGATACATTGTAAAATGCGTTTTTAATTTTAACCACAATAAAATTCAACTACTTATACTCAGAAACCTTAAAAATCTTCTCGTAAAACGATGGTTTACATTGTATTTGTGTGAAAATCCTTAGTAGTTTGTAGGTTCTTGGACATATCCTTTTTCTTTGGGACCTTCAGCACCTTTAGCGTGTAGTAGAGTAATTGTTGTTGGGTAAGTACTACAATATGAGCTCACCTTGATCGTCACATTATTTTTTTAATGATAGTAATTAAAATAATTGATTTAAGTTACTAAATACATGTTTGCAAATTTAAACCCTAATTTAACCCTGTAAAGCCCAAACCATTAAATAATTGACAGAAAATTAAAATTCTTTGAACTTGGACCCTTTATTGGTCCCTTTGAACAAACAAACAAAAAAATGAATATATAATATGATACAGCAAGTTATATATCTAGTTTTTTAGTCTAAATGTACCAAATTATTTAATTTATAAATTATGTAAAATAAAAAGACTCTATGTTGCTTGATGTTATATATATAATTGCCTGATTTAGAGTTACATGTATATACTGTATATATTATATATATTTATAATACATATATTTATATTATAAGTATGCTGTATATACAATATATATATATATATATATATATATATTTTTTTTTTTTTTTTTTTTTTTTCTTCTGTGGAGCTTCGGCCCAGAGGCCGTGTCTCTGTCATTGGTGTGGAACTTCAGGGTTCACCTCCTGGGCAAGATCAAATCCCGGTTAGGGCGTTTGGTACCTTCCTTTGGACTCACCACCCGCAGGAAGGTTTGGGGGGTGTTTTCAGTATTTTTACATTGCATCAACCCAGTAACTATTCCTATTGCTGTTTCAGTAAAGACTGTAATGATTTTCTTATCTTAACTTTTTTAAACTTGGCAACGTTCTTCTTCAAAAACCACCTGTCCAAATCCTGAGTCATGGCACTCTTGTAGTGTCACTGGAAGGCCCGCTAATGAGCATAACTAAATAACTATCCCCTGTTGAATTATCTGTGCACTGCATGTATCTGATTGTATACCTCTGGTTTTTAAGGGAAAAAAATATCACACTGCTCATGTGGAGGGCTGTAAAACTCATGTATCAAATATGATACGTTTGGCGTTATAGTCCCTTTTTGACCCCTTCCTTTAAATGTTATACAGTTTCAACAGAGAAATGATGAGAAACCAGTGTCTCTGTCAACAACTCTCCCACTCATTGTTTGGGTTAAGATGAGATGTGAAAGAAACAATGTGTATGGAAATGTTATATTAGTGTCTAAACTGAAGGAAAATGTATTTATTGTGTGCAAGTGAACTGCTTGGGCTATATAACTTGTAGTATTATGGCTTTAAGTTAAATGTTTACTGGGAAGTGTCTGCAAGCTCTTGGTCATGGGGTCATAAAGGTCCTTTGAACTGAAATTTAACGACTGTACGATGTAACCATGTAAAACCATATAAAAGAGAGCCCACCTAACAGGGGTTCAGTCATCTCTAACAACTGTATTAGACAGGAGTTAGGAGCTTCCTTGGTTCCATAGCGTAGCTCACTGGTGCCCAATAAATAGATCGGGATCTACCAATAGATCTCAAAGGGAGTGCTGGGAGATCCTGAGCAATTACATTTAAAGAAACAAACAAAAAAAAAAGATAGATTTAATTATATTTTAAGATGCTAATCACTAGGGCTTAAGTAAGGACCATAGAGGTATTGAGTCAGATGTTATTGTGCCATACAACTACAGCCATTTAATCAAAGTAGTAAATATATATTTATAGTTTTCAATGTAATTAGATCACTTTAATATTTATTAAATATTTATATTTAATTAAAGGTAAAATTAAGTCTTAATGAGGAAAAGCTATAATTTGTTTGTTTTGTTAAAACATTGAATGCTTTTCTTAAACCCATCCAAAGTTTATTCAAAATATTTTGATCTGTAGTATTATATCTTGTCTTTTTCTTGTTGCCACGTCAATATTAAGGGTGTCCAAAAAAATTGATTCACATTTGAATCGTGATTTAAGCTTTGTCGATTCAAAATCAATTCATAAAGATCCAAAAATCGATTAATATTTTTTATCCTAATTTTGTAACTTCATTCTAAATTGAATTAAACTCGCCGTTCCAATAGATGGCGCTGCGTCGACTTTACACTAAGCAATTCTGATTCATCTCGTCTAAAAGTGCGGTCAGCTCTGACCTAAAACTCTTTGACTAAAGGAATTTATCAGTGATACGGAGAACGTCAATTGTGCATGGAGAATTGTGACTGTTAAAGAAAAAAACAATTCAGCCCGCCCCATTCCTCACTAAAGGCAAGTGTTTGGGAGCATTTTCGACTTTATTGCCTTGATGGGAAGCCAGACCTCAATAAGGAAAATGTTATAGGCAAGATTTGCCAAACAAAGGTGAAGTATTTCGGAAATACAACAATTGAGAGAGCTCATATGTCACGCCATCATCCGGAAAACAGAAAACCTTCCAGTGAACCAACAAACTTTGTTTCAGTGCACTAATCTCCCACCCAACTCTGAGCAGGCTAAGGAAATCACCCAGTCCATAGCTTATTTTATTTCAAAAGATTTGCGCCCCTGCAGCACCGTTGAAAACGAAGGCTTTGAACATGCTGCACACAATTGAGCAGTGGTAAGCTGTACCATCCCGTCTTTTTTGACACTTAAACACGTTTATGTATTCTGTGATTCTAAAACATCTTAAATGCCTAAATGCTGAATTGAGAATATTTGATTAATGATTTTATGTGTTAAATGTGCCCATCAGATCATCTCATTTCAAAAGGGAGTCTAGCTGTTAATGTACTACCTGAGCCATTTGTTTTAAGCACCTTAAAACTAATTGTAAAAGCTCTTATTTTATCAAATATTTTACTTTGCACTATGCAGTTTATAGTTGCTTTTTTGTAGTACCAATTACCTTAGGCCCACCATTCGTAGCTAAAGGCATACCTTTTCAGTTTTGGTTGAATAGTTTGACAGTATGACAGTTTACCAATTACCTAATGGACTGTCAACTGCAATAATATTGGAAAGTAACTCAAATCACATGTATATATCAAATTTATGTTCTGGACAATGAATCAATTTTTAATTGAAAATCGATTTTGAATTGAATCTTGAACCTAAAAATTGATATCAAATAAAATCGTGGCATTTCCTGAATCATGCACCCCTAATATTTATCATTATCATTAGTCTCTACATTAAAATAACTATATGTCAGTGCTTCCTCAGGTGCATTTCCAGCTGGTGTCTAAATGTCTGTGTTGCCACAGAGCTTTGGTTGCTGATATTTTTCATTTTTCTAACTGTAGCGAGCAGATGTTGGACTTTCTGCCCTAACCATCACACCTGAGCGGGAAAGTGTGGTGGACTTAACCACACGTTACATGGATTACTCTGTGGGTGTTCTGTTGCGTAAGGCTGAGCGCACCGTGGACATGTTCGCCTGCCTGGCACCTTTTGATCTGTCACTGTGGGCATGCATTGCCGGCACTGTGCTTCTCGTCGGCATTCTGGTTTACCTGCTCAACTGGCTCAACCCTCCCCAGTTACCAATGGGCTCGGTGTCCTCCACAACTCTGTACAACTCCATGTGGTTTGTCTACAGCTCCTTTGTACAGCAAGGTAAGGAACACATCTGCATTGAATAGGACCACAGATAAACCCAGGCCTCTGGTTTATTTTTATTTTATCCTTAATTTAACCTGCTAAAACTCTATACTATTTTTTTGCTTATGGTTTTTGATGTCGAAAAAAAAGAAGATAAAAAGTTGATCTTCGAAGTGTGTAAGAGTGTAAAGAAAGTCAGAAAACAAGTGGTCAGATTTAGCCATGTTCTGGTGATAGAAACAAAAGAACTAAAGAAGTAACACATGCTGTATAGTATGTAAAGATAATCCAGAAACACTGTGAACCACACCACCCATAATTGCTGTACATGACCTCAAACCACACAAACCACACAAATACTGTAGGTCCACTGTCACATTGTTGTAGTCAGGTGAATGTTTTAAATGTTTTCTTATACTGGTGTTTTTCAAAATGGGGTAGCAAAAAATGGGGTCATCTGAAATGTGTAGTAATTGATATAAAAGAAATACTAATAAAACTATTTCAGGGAAAATAAAAATGTCCTGACCACAATATGGTTTTTCACTTTTACATTTTTTCTTTTCAGTGTACATAATTGGTAAATATGTAACCCGTACAAGTCTCGATTTTAACCTTGCTGTCCTGGACAAAAGTTTCTCTATGACTACTCTACAGTGATCTGCTGATATGGAACACAATTACTATTTTTGTCTGTTGCTGTGGAAATACTCTATGTGTATGTTAATATTTTTCTTGCTAGCATTTCTGAGACCCCATACTCTTGTCTATTACAGGATTATACGAGGCTTAAACTACTCTGTAGAATCCCAGAGAGAGTTCCATTAAACATGCATTGATTTTTGTTTTTTTAACACGATACATTTTCCTCAAACCACAGGTTAATTTTAGGAAAGGATATGAACATAGAATAGGGAGGCAAAAAATGTGATGGTGAAAATATCCAAGGATTTAAAATGTTAGATAATAGTCGTCTCATGTGAGCCACACGTGGAACGACCTTTCATGTTCAAGACCAATAGTCAAATGACATCAAAGGGGAGGAGACATTTCCAGTGCAGCAGGGCCTAAAGGAGGATAATGACCTTATCCTTGGTATCTACTAAGAGATTTCCCAGAATCCACTTGGGCCATGCTCAGGTGAGGAGATCAGACAGTTGGCACCAGAGTAGAATTTAAATTTTTATTGGCGCAGTAGGAGCAGCACCAGTTGTGGCAAAGGGAGAGAAACGGTGAGTGGAAAAATAGATTAAATAAAAACAAATGTGTCTTTATCATCTCTTTTTGTTATTTCAAATGTTAAAATTGGAGAAAGACACAAAAACAAGATTTAAAAAATAATTTACATTCAGTAGTTTGTTCTCTTTGCATGAATATTGTCATGTGCGAGCATCGCAGGGAGCAGGCAGGACCCAAATGCAGTACTGGAGAGACTCTTTCTGGTGCAGGAAGTTTATTAACAAAGTCCAAATTAACAAAACACGAAGAACTAACAGGCATGGAATTCTCGAGGAACACAAGGAAAACACAGAAACACGGAACACGAGGAAACACAGAGTAGGAAACTCACAAACACGAAGATCTAACACAGTAACAATGATCAAACACACACCACCACAATCACAATGATCCAACCCCGACAGAGTGAGGGAGAGGGGTATATATACACAGGGAACACCAGGTGACACAAGTGAAGCTAATTACCAAACAGGTGAGTGTGATCCCATGATTACCCCACAAAGAACACAGGAAAACACGGAAACAGACAGACATGACAGAATATGTTGTTATTTAATGTTATAGTCACAGCAAATGCAGACATTTTCAGTCAGTCAGTTGTTTCATTCGTGACTCCAATGAAAATTTAGTGCATTTACATGTGATTTAATAAAAAAATTAAGACTCTGGGTGTTAGTAAGTTACCAATGCTATATATTTATTAGCCATAGATAGATAATAAATATTACGTTTAGCTGCTGACATCTGCATTTTTGTTTTTGCATTATTGTATTTATTTCTGCCTCCAATTATCAATTACTTCCATCTCATTAATTTAAATATCTCAACCCCATTTTCTGTCATTCACATACACTATATTACCAAAAGTATTCGCTCACCTGCCTTGACTCATGCTATGAACTGAAGTGCCATCCCATTCCTAAACCAGAGTTCAATATGATGTCGGTCCACCTTTTGCAGCTATTACAGCTTCAACTCTTCTGGGAAGACTGTCCACAAGGTTGAGGAGAGTGTTTATAGGAATTTTTGACCATTCTTCCAAAAGCGCATTGGTGAGGTCACACACTGATGTTGGTCGAGAAGGCCTGGCTCTCAGTCTCCGCTCTAATTCATCCCAAAGGTGTTCTATCGGGTTCAGGTCAGGACTCTGTGCAGGCCAGTCAAGTTCATCCACACCAGACTCTGTCATCCATGTCTTTATGGACCTTGCTTTGTGCACTGGTGCACAGTCATGTTGGAAGAGGAAGGGGCCCGCTCCAAACTGTTCCCACAAGGTTGGGAGCATGGAATTGTCCAAAATGTTTTGGTATCCTGAAGCATTCAAAGTTCCTTTCACTGGAACTAAGGGGCCAAGCCCAGCTCCTGAAAAACAACCCCACACCATAATTCCTCCTCCACCAAATTTCACAGTCGGCACAATGCAGTCTGAAATGTACCGTTCTCCTGGCAACCTCCAAACCCAGACTCGTCCATCAGATTGCCAGATGGAAAAGCGTGATTCATCACTCCAGAGAACGCGTCTCCACTGCTCTAGAGGCCAGTGGCGGCGTGCTTTACACCATTGCATCCGACGCTTTGCATTGCACTTGGTGATGTGTGGCTTGGCTGCAGCTGCTCGGCCATGGAAACCCATTCCATGAAGCTCTCTGCGTACTGTACTTGGGCTAATCTGAAGGTCACATGAAGTTTGTAGCTCTGTAGCAATTGACTGTGCAGAAAGTCGGCGACTTGCTTGATTTTATACACCTGTGGCCAGGCCAAGGGATTAGGACACCTGATTCTGATCATTTGAATGGGTGAGCGAATACTTTTGGTAATATAGTGTATTTCCTTAGTTTCCTGTTGTTAATATTGAACCACATCATTTATTTATTTATTTATCTTGTAAAACATATGAAGCATTCAGAAAGTTACTGAGGTGTTCTGCAGTTTGGTAAATTAAAAAAAATAAAAACCTCAGTCCTGGGCTGTGACTAATGGCATAATTATCCTGATTATGATTATGGATCCTAATTGCTCTTTGATTGAAATTTAAAATGGCATCTCCTTAAGAATATAAAGAACATTGTTATAATGTCAGATAATTAAACAAAAAATATGGAGGAGAAAAAAATCCTTTAAGATGTTCTCCAGTGTGTCTATACAGCAGAACCAGAGGTTTTAAGATTATTTATTTTGTGATAGACATTTATCACCTGTTTCCAATTAACATGTTTGCCTCTGAGTGTTCCAAAACTGTTTTTGGAACTTATCTTAACTTTCTACTATCTTTGTTGCCCCTTTCTTAGAAGTTTGTAAAGGATAGAAAGTATAGTTCATTTGGTTGGGTGTTGGTTATAAAAGATTTAAAAATACTATTTAGTATTTTTATAATGCACCTCCTTAATTTCAATCTGTCTGAAAATCAATGAAACATTTGCAGTCTCATGTCTAGCCTCTTGGTGCCCGAAGAAATTTATGCGCAATATCCGACAGACCATTAATTATTGGTCAAGTATGTGTTAATTATAATAATTAACAAGTAGCTAACAAAAACAGTCTTCACAGATACTCATGGCTCCCACAAAAATGAATAGCAATTGTGTCTGACCAACCACTTACATGGCCTATGTTAAATGCCCTGACTGGATCATTGCATAGATCAATTCTTTCTCCGTCTTGTCTCTGGGCTTGATCTGACTTTTGTTCTCCATTTATTGACAAATATTACTTTCAATACAAAAGGCTTTTATTTTCATCCTCCATTCTCTCCCTCTCCATCCTCACACCCGTCACTTTCTCTCTTATTGCTTTTGCTTTGCTTTTAGGTGCAGGTATACAGTAAAAGTGATGTGCACTTTTATACCTGTGTGGGGGGGAGTGATATTCGGCTTCCCAGGTGTGTGTTTAAATCTTGTAGGCCAATGGAAGAGAGAGGCTAGGCCTCTTGTGGCCAATCATATTATTGTTCCTGTATCATGGTTATACCTACAGTCGCCATTGTGTGGCGCTGCTGCTCCATGATTCAGCAGTGTTGAAGGAGATTTTTATGAACCTTTTGTTGCTGAGATCAAAAGGAATGGATGGATCCGGGGTTCCCCGTGAGAATGTGGATTGGGAGCCTTCCCATCGTTCCCAGGGAGTAGAGGTGTTTTGGAGTCGTCAGGAGAGTTGGTGTGAAGAGGGTTTGGGAGAAATTCTCTTTGAATGTGTGGGGCTATGTGAGTGTATGTGCTTGGGAAGGCATTTGGTGACTTAGCAGCTTCCTGCTTTCAGACCCAAACCATTTGTGAAAACCACTGAAATCTAACAATATCTTTACATCAAGGTCAGACACTACATCAGCCAGCCTGATAAAAATAGTACGTCCAGAGCAATAAACAGTATAATGAAGGGAACTGTGATGTATGTATGTATGAATATGAAAAAGAGACAAACAATTAATAATCAAGCTGTTGAAAACAACACAGGTCGCTGCTTGTCCTGCTTTGTCTTGAATAATTACTCTGTTATTTCCCAAATATGCTGTGGTAAAACGCAGTGAGAGGGACAAGCTATCAGCTCACGTCTGTGCTGGATGTAGTTCAAAGCACCTTGTCATTTAAAATCAAAACCACACTGAATGGCATGCTACCACAAATCTAATAGCAATGGATGTGACAGGGGACGAAAGCTTGTACGTGATGTATAATAACAAAAAGTTCAAAATAAATGCCTTCGCCACTTGGTGGAGGCAGGATTGAAGCTGCGGTGATTGATCAGCAGGTCCAATTGTTAGCATACGTTACAGGTAGTGC